TACTTCTTCTTCTTCCCTCCCCTCCTCTCTCTCTCTCTCTCTCTCTCTCTCTTTCCCTCTTTTTTTCCATCCCTCCTCGAGAGGAGTCGAAATGAAATTCCGCGTGTCGAACCAGGGCCTTTAAAACGCGAAAACAATACGGACTTTTCCACTTTTATGTATCGGTATTCACTGTTCGATCGAAAATGAAAATGCCCGTGTGTGTTAAAATTAGTTGCATGGAAGGTATTTGATTTTCTTCGTTTCTCCGTTTGGCACTGCAACTCCGTACAAAGTATATTATAACACGATGGAAGTTCATCGATCATATCGTTTAATCCATAAACTCGAACTTACATCTTAATTTCTTCCGCGCGCGCGCGCGTGTGTGTGTGTATATCTTTCGTTCCATTTTTTATTCTATTTATTTATTTATTATTTTCTTTTTTTTCTTTTTCTTTTTCGTTTTCTAACAAGGCATAGCAACTACGCTACTACGAGAAGAGAACAATTCCTTTTTCCATCACTGTTGAGAGTCTTTGAATCGGCCCTCGGTTATATACTATACATACTATTCAGACAGCGCAGGATTTATCGTGGAAGGATCCTGAGCGACGAACCCTCCTCCCCTTCGTTTTCGGGAGTCGGGTTCGGATCGGTTAACGAAGGAAATAGAAGATGAACGGATTCCTAATTTCGCTATCTTAACGATACTCGATCGATCGTGTCGATAATAATATACACGTTTTTCCCCGCAATTTGTTCCGCGTCGTCGATAGGGATGGCGATGGAAACCGATAGGTTTTCAAAGATTTTTCCAAAGCTTCGCGGTATAGTATAGTATAGATATGATTGGCGAATAATAATACGAGATACGAGAGAATGCAGAGATGATAATGGGAAAAAAAAAAAGAGAAAAAAGAAAGGATATGCGATCAGTCGAGAAGATGAGAGAGAGAGCGAGAGAGAGAGCGATAGAAGGATATAGGATCGGTTGTTTCGTTCGATAAGAAACGAGATCTCTCCTAGATGACGTCTCGCGAAACTCGTGCCACCAGGAGAAGGATCATCATCCCCGAGCTGGCTGCGCGTGTCTTCTTCCAATTAGAATTCTTCCGCTCCCTCAGCAATGATATGCATAGAAGAGTGAGGCCAGGAGCCAGAGCGCGCCACCGCCACCCCCGTAGAACCGGTTGCCCTCGACCCCGTTTCTACCGGGTCGTTTGCGTTTCGACTTCGATTTGGCGCGCCGTTTGCGCGAGAAAATGGCGTTGGTGGCGTTCGTGGGCGACTCGACGTTGCAGTAGCTCAGGTCGCAGCAACTCATGCAAATCTGGAACGAAATAACCGAATTTATTTCACCCGCTCGCCCGCCCTCTTTCTTTCTCTTCCCCTTCTCCTTTCTCTCTTGTTTTATCCTTTCTCTTTCCTTCTTCTCTCCCCCCCCCTCCCTCCCTCTTTCCCGTCCAGAAAGTTTCGATGCACGGGAACGGTGAAAGAGAAGGAGAAGCGAGAAGAGAAAGAAGGGCAGGCCAGGTACTCGGAAAAATTCGCTATTTCGCACCTGCTGCGTGTCCACAGGGATGCAACCGACGGAGGCAGGGCCGCATTCCGCGCTGCTCACACAGCTCTTGCTCACCTGAAAATCGAAAATCGCCGTTTTTTTTTTTTTTTCGTTTTTTCGCGTTTTCCACGAATCATTGTACGGTTACGGGACGCAACGTGTGTGCACGCTCGTCGCGCGCTCGATCGTTCCGTATGCGCGCTCGTTCGTGCGTTCCTTCTCGATCGTTCTCGATCGAGCCTCTCTCTTTCTCTATTCTTCCTTTCCTTTCTTCTTCTTTTTTTTTTTTTTTTCGTTTCTCTCTAGCGATTGTTCGACCAGCGATATCGATTCCCGGTCGTTAGAATTCACATCGCCCATTCCGTTCGTCCCCCCTACTCTGTTTAATTTCTAGATGTTCGATTTCGCGTGTACAGAATGTTCATCCCGGTTGATTGATACGGCTTTCCTTTCTTCCTCGAGGCTCTCCCGAAACTTAGAAAAAAGAATAAAAAAAAGAACAAAAAAAAAAAATCTCCATCGAGATTTCCACTTAAGCTCGAAACGAACGAGAATCTATCCCGGTCGGTTGTTTGGAAAACGCTTCATACCGTGTCATCTGCGAATCTTCCCACCGGCGGGGAAGTAACGTATCCAAGCATTAATTAACCGATCAACCGAGCGGAACGGGATAGGTGGCGCGCAGAAGGGAGCCGCGAACCGGGATAGGCTCCTAATTGATTCCGATGTTCATAATTGAAAGAGTCGGTGGAAAGTGCTTAATCGGTGCTTAAGAGAGGAGGCCTGCATCATTACTCTTCCGCCGCGTTGCGAATCCGCCTCCTCGAGTTTATCCATTAACAAACCGAGGGAATCGATAACGCGTTTTGGGAGAGAAGCTGTTAAGCCGGGCCCGCGGCGGTAAAATTGATCTTTCGATGCTCGATTTTCATGCGACCAACGCTCGAGGATTTTAACGAAATCGTGGTTTCGAAAAAAAAAAAAGAAAAAAGAAAAAGGAAAAAAACGAGGTCGGTCGATTTCGATCGAGACAAAAATTTCCCCCGTCTTCGAATCCTCCCCGAGTTTTCCTCCTTTCCTCGACAAGTTAAATTACAAATCAATTATGCAAACTCGTCCCCGTTCTTCGTCGAATCGAGGAAACGAGCGAGCGAGCGAGCGAAACGAGCTAGGGGAGAAGGGTCCAAGTTTTTCGCCCCCTCAGCCGCGAGACGGCCAAAACCAACTACCACGAAACTACCACGCGTTTCTCCGACGTTTCTTGGCAGCCGAGCTCTCCGAGAACCGGTTAATCGGCTCGCCTCGCTTCGGGTCGAGTGGCGCGGTTAGGGAGGGAAGAGAGAGATGAGAAAAAAGAAAATTTGCTTGCCAACACGCTGTTCCCCCGGCTGTCCAAAATGTGCAGCGATCTGCAAAAGTCTCGGCCGCCCGCCGGACACGGTGTGTCTATCGCCCATTCGTTGCACATCTGCGAACAAAAGGAAGGGGGGGGAGGAAGAAAAAAATAGGAACGGTTTCGAGCGGTTTTGCGAAGCGTCTCCTCGTTATTGGCGAGCCGATCGATCGGAGGACCAAACTTTCGATAGTTTTCCAATCGCTGATTCGTTATCAGGGGGAGAGGAGGGGGAAGGAGAAAAGGAAAAAGTACGGCAAGGAGTTTGCCGATTCTCGCCGATCGAACATCTGGATAACGGATGGAAACGAAATTGAGAGGAGGGAAGGGGAGAAGGGAGGGGGTTGTTCCTTCGATCGAACGTTCGCCGCGAAAGTAAAGTCGTGTACGTTACGCGCGTGTTTATAAAGTTTCGCGTATTCGCGGACTATCGAAAATCGGGAAGAGGAATTGGAAAGGAGGGAATAAATTGTGGAGGATAGATACCGGCCGGGCGTCTCGCGCGGTGTTGGCCATCGACCCGGTTTCGAATCAACGATTTTCGATACAGATTTCCGTCGGCGGAACCCCTATTTAGAGATATGCTTAGAGGGTTGATCCTTGGCGGCGAAGCCTCCTCTTCTCCTTGTCTCTCCTCCGCTCGTCGATCCGATATCGGTAATTCCTTCGCGACATGGTCGACTTAAAGAGTGGAGATTGGACAAGAGGGGTGGGTGGAGGGAGTTTGAAAATAAGTAAAAAGGATCGATAGCGGAACGGACGAGTTGAACGAAATTGCGGTTGGACCCGACACGATACAGGCATTACGAACTCTTAAGAGAGAGGGGAGGGCGTTTAACGGACTCGTCGATACCTGGTTATCGCTGACGTTGACGCAAGTGTAGCACGTTAGACCTGCAACAAGAGAGAAGGGGGGGAGAGATGGGGTGAGTAATAGCGTTGCACCGGAGACGGTACCAGGCTTCGGAGGTTCGAGGTGCGGGACAAAGGGCGGAGAGACGCAACAATTAAACGCGCTTAGGCGTTCCTTCGATATAATTCCAAGCCTGGAAATACACTTAACGTCGTGGAAAATGGATTGTCCCCGTCCAATGGGACTTGTAACTTGTCCCCATGGTGGATCGAGCCGCGACAAAAGCGTCTGAACCTCGATTCAGTCGGGAGGAGAAGGTGGTGGTGTGTACGTTTGCAACCGTGCTGTTTCTCCAAGGGAGATCCTTCCCTTCCCCTCCCTCCAATCTCCTCAATGTCGTAATTAATACTTTTCGAGGTACCGATTTTTCGAGAGATTTTCGAATCCATTTCCCCTTCGTATCGGAACGGGGCCGAGCAAAGGAAAGATTCCTCGTCCCCGTCACGCTAATGGAATACAAACTTTTTCATTGGAACTTTGATCGGAACTGGCGGAGAAGCAGACAAGTAAGTAAGCAAGCAAGCAAGCAAGTAAGTAGCAGCCGAGAAAAAGAAGGAAGCGTAAAGAAGAAGAAGAAGAAGGAAACGGCGAGCATACTCTCCTTCTTCTTTCTTTTTTCTCGAGCGACTCTCGAACAAGGTAAACTCTCGCTGCTGCTCGCTTTCGGAAACTGCGAATGGAGTTTTGGTTTAAGTAAGGTTGGCAGGAAAGCGGTTGGCGATATTTCAGAACAATGCGTTACAAGCGAGGAACGTGGGGAGATCGGTGTAGGAGGAGGGGAGGGGGGGAATGATTTGTGGGAAATTGGTAGAAGGTGGATGGAGGTAAAGTGGCCAGCGAGATCTGTTAAGCGGTAGAAAGGCAGGAAGGAGGATTAGCTCGATTGCAGGATTCGAGAGGGTTGGATAAGCTCGAGTTAGCCGAGCAAATCATAGATCTGTTTGCTCCCGGTACTCTCTCTCTCTCTCTCTCTCTCTCTCTCTCTCTCTCTCTCTCTCTCTCTCTCTCTCTCTCTCTCTCTCTCTCTCTCTCTCTCTCTCTCTCT